GCATAAAATAACCATAGTTGTGCCAATTGACGTAGACATTATTGTTATAAAAATGAATATAATTAATTGTAAAAGCATTAAATAATATATGTTTTTTTCTTATTTATGATGATGATAGGAGGATCTTTACTATCCACATCCACTTATACAAGATACACTTTGGGGGTTCCTTCATCACTTTGCTGAGCCAATGTTAAAAAGATGGCCATTTAACAAGTTGAGAGAAAAGGCTTTGAAAGTTGCCATGGAACATATTCACTACGAGGACCAAACTAGTAGATACATTTGTATTGGATGTGTCGAAAAGGTATGCATGTAGCTTACTACATTTGTACCCCTCCCTTCCATTTGCGGTGATGTTTCACTTGGCACCGAGTTTAAGAAAAAAAATAAAAATTTAAAATTTGTGATCTAAAATAAGTTTTAGATGTATATACAAAATTTGTTTCAATTTAATGATCTGAAATTTCTGCAAGGAGCTCTATTCGAGAGGAAGCACTGGCTCTTATTGAAATTTATCTTTTGGCCATTACAACAATACAATCAGCTTCTTATTGACTTATTTAAGTGATTAAAGGCTAAAATAATTTTTAAACATATTTGTAATATTTGGATTAAATAAAAAAAAGTGTTTTTAAGTCATAAGCCCATCTAAATAGGCTCATATTCCCTTTGTTTCAATATAAGTGTCGTTTTAGGAAAAAATAGGTTTAGTAAGAAATCAATAAATACAATGTGTAGTTTACTAAATTACTCATATTTAATAAATGTCTCTTGAAAACTGAATACTATTGAAAAGAAGGAGTATAAGGATATAACTGAAAAAGACATATGTCTCTGTACAACAATAGTTGTCCACTATTAATTTTGCATACTTCTTAAGAAACTATAAATTAAATATAAGTGTAATTTTACTATATCACTCTTTGAATATAATAAATACAATGTCCTGATAAATGTAATAGAGAAATGACCATAATTGATAAGACTAAATTAGGAACTAAGTATAAAACTATCCATTGATTTCATAAAGTGGACAAGTATTGTTTGACATCCCAAAATAGTTTAGTAAACAACTATTATTGAACAAAGGGAGTACAAATTTTTATTTTGAATTTCTAAAATGATAAGAGTACTTAAGTGGGAAGCAGAGGAAGCAATTGTGTGGCTATAAACTATCTCTATAAAATTAAGTTACTTTTAAATATAAAAATATGATATTCTTTTTGAACCGACTAAAAAAAAGGTAATGCGCTCATATATTAGAACATAGAGATTAATTAGTTAGAGTTAGCTTCTAAACACTTGTGATCTAATATATAGTCATCTAAAAAAAACAACTACAACATGATAAAATTTATATTACAACCGTGTTAAATTAACATAATAAAAATATAATAATTGTTTTGTTAGGTTTTATGTCTTATGGCTTGTTGGGTGGAAGATCCAAATTCAGAAGCATATAAACATCACCTTGCTCGATTACCAGATTATTATTGGATATCTGAAGATGGTTTAAAATTTCAGGTTATTTTTCCATATATACCCTTTTGATTTTTTTTTCATGGCTCTAATATAGATATCGAACCCTGAACGATAAAATTAAATAATTAGCTAATTAAAATTAGTACAATATGGTTTGCATGCAGTCCTTTGGTTGTCAAACTTGGGATGCAGTATTTTCAATCCAAGCAATCTTATCAAGTGATGTGGCTGAAGAATTTGGGCCAACACTCAAGAAAGCAAATAATTTTCTAAAAGCATCACAGGTTATATAATTAATTATTAATTCTTTCTTCATAGGAATAAATAAATTAGGATAAAATGTTACATCATAATTATCTGAAAAAAATAACTTATTTTGAATTATTATTATTTAATTTTTAGGTGAGGGAGAATCCTAGTGGGGACTTTAAAAAAATGTATAGGCACATATCTAAAGGTGGTTGGCCATTTTCCATGCAAGATCATGGTTGGCAAGTCTCTGATTGCACTTCTGAAGGATTAAAGGTAATTCTTAATTTTCAACTATTTAAAGTGTGGTTCATCTCGCATTACAATAAAAAGAGAGATATTTAGTGATAATAGTTTTTTTATTATCACGATAGTTAAGTCAATGTTATTGTATTCATTATCGCTAAATCATTTAGTGATATTTATATAGAATGTTGATTATAAATACCTGACAATAATATTATTGCAGCTAATTGTAATATAGCGGCGATTATATTATTACCAATACATTCTTTTGTTATAATATGGTGTAGCCTAACCGTTAATAAAGTGGGATAAAAATCATGGGATATTAGGGTTCAAGTCTTAGCAAATGGCAAAATTGTTAGTATTCCTTCCATTTTTCAATCCATCTAATACAATTTTTCTTTTAATCGATACTTAAAAAGAATGACATATTTGTATATTCAAAAATAATTTATTAACTTTCTACTTCTTATTTTATTCTTTGTGCAAGTTTGTTTTATAGCTACACGAATATTATAACACGTTGTGTGCAATTATTTTGCAGTGTGCACTTTTATTTTCACAAATGCCTACACAACTTGTTGGGGAAAAATTCGATGCTGAGCGCTTATATGATGCAGTAAATGTAATTTTGTCTCTCCAGGTAAAAACAAATCTTGATTTAGTAATACATTATTATCGATGATTAAATTGTTTGAACATATATAGTTTAATTTGTAAGCAAGAAACTATAATTTAAATGTTTTCTTGGTAATATATTTAGTTCATGATCAAATGATTTAATGTGCTACTTTAATCAACCTTTCTTGCTATTATTAATTGTAAATATTAATAATGTAGAGCGAAAATGGGGGTTTTCCAGCTTGGGAGCCTCAACGTGCCTATCGCTGGTTGGAGGTAACATACTCAAAATCCTTTTCTTAACTACTATCACGTGTTAAATGGTACAAATAGCTCTGTGTGTATAACTTAAATTCTATTCGAATTTCCAAGCTCATATATACTTTTGCTAAAGGTGTTAATTGTTTAGTTTTGTATACTTATAGGTTAATTTATTTGATTAACTATTTAACCCTTTTTTTTCTTGTCAGAAATTTAATCCTACGGAATTTTTTGAGGATACCATAATTGAAAGAGAGTAAGTACTCTATGCTACTCTTTTTCTAAAATTCTACATTTATTAGAAAATATTAAATATATCTTCAACAATATTTTAATTATAAGATTAATATATGTTAATTAATGAATATATGAAGGTATGTGGAATGCACTTCATCATCAATCCAAGCTTTATCATTATTTAAAAAATTGCACCCTGGACATCGAAGGAAGGAAATTGATGTTGCAATTACAAAAGGCTTACAATACATTGAAAATACACAAAATCCTGATGGCTCTTGGTAAATATATATCCTTCGTCGAAAAAATCATACTACATATTAACTTTTAGATATATTTAACGAAATTTCTGACTTTGTTGCTGCTTATATAGGACGGGTTGTTGGGGAATTTGTTATACATATGGAACATGGTTTGCAGTGGATGGATTAATAGCTTGTGGAAGAACCTATTCTACTAGTCATGCCCTTCAAAAAGCTTGTAAATTTTTGTTGTCAAAACAATTGTTAGATGGTGGATGGGGTGAGAGTTACCTTTCAAATTCAAACAAGGTAACAAATATAATTTATTATATTTACTTCTATTTTTTAAATATAAGGTACAAACACTAAAAAAAATTGTATTGATCATTTGTTTCTTTGAATTAAGAGATGTTAATTAATTTGTTTGATTAAAAGGTTTATACAAACATTGAAGGGGATAAGTCAAATTTGGTGCAAACTTCATGGGCATTGTTAGCTCTCATTAACGCTGGACAGGTTTGTTGTTAAAAATTATCATATGTCTTATTTTTCACTCACAATTCAACAAATTACAAATTCATAATGGGATAATTATGGATCTGAACCATTCAACATATAATATATAAAACACAATGATAGTGTATGTGTGTTGTATATACTGAGGCCTTAGCTTATTGATAAACTAGTTGACCAAAGACCAACAAGAATTGTGGTGGAGTGATAAGTATTCATTCATTCTTAACTAGAGATCTCGGATCCAAGTCCCCCTAGGTATAGAATTGCCTTTGATAGCAAGTGTTTTACCCCTCAATATGGGACTTTCTAGCACGAATCCGAATTTAGTGGAGCTCTAATGTAGACACCAGACACTGGATGGGAAACAAAAAAAAAAAACTAGTTGACTGAAGAATATATATATATATATATATCGTTTTAACGATCCCTAACTCTCTCTTTGGTTTTTTGTTGTTTGTTAGGGGGAAATTGATCCATCACCAATACATTGTGGAATAAGATTGTTAATAAATTCACAAATGGAAGATGGTGACTATCCACAACAGGTAACAATTAGTTGCCTTATAAAATGATAATTTTAACATTTGCATGTGTATAGACTATAGAGACTAATGATATTTATTTTGTTATAATTGTTTTGCAGGGAGTAACAGGGGCATTCATGAAGAATTGCACCTTAAACTATGCATCATACAGAAATATATTCCCAATATGGGCTCTTGCACAATATCACAAACGTCTTCTCATCGAACTCAACTAGAAAATTTTTATTTTACTAATTCAATATGTATACTAAATAAATGTACTTCTATTTTATTTTTTCCTGTATTTTCATCTTTGCTAAAAAGAGGTGGATCACAAAATATACATGCTCTGCTCCTCTTTCTCTTTCTTTTTTTAAACTTGCCTCCTTTTGGCAATTGGTTTTTAGCTTGACCTCGTGGATGCTATATGAAGTATTACATTTTTTATGCTTAAAAGTTAAAATATCAACTTAATGTTGATAAACGAGTAACATTGTATGTGTCGATGAACTTGGTACACATTTAAATAATCATAAAGTTGAATAATACCAACATTATCATTTTTCAAATTTTGTTCCTCGTTAGTCCGACAGGCTAAATTAGTCTGCAAACAGAAAGATGCATCCAACCACTTGTTTCCTTAATTATTTGGAAATTCAAGCCACAAAATTGTTAAGGTAGCTAATACACAACATTTCTAATGAATTGCAACTTCACCCGCAGCAGTCTCTAGACCAACTCCAGGTCCAATAGAAGCAAGCATTACGATTTACGACCAACACAGCAGCAATAGTTGAAGTGCCAGAAATCAGGTGGATAAGTTCCTCATACAGCCAGTACCCAATGTATTCTTTACCTAGAATTTGAAGTTCCAGAAAATCTTTGAGAAGCTATCTTTTTTTTTCTTCCAAGGAAAGAGTTGACAAAACGAACTTCAGAAGCAGAAAATCTATGCTACAGACATAGTCATTATCTGACGAGCAAGACCAGGATCTTGTTGCAAGAGCTCCCTAAGGTTATTCTCCACCTCCGCCATGTGCTTTTCCAAATACTCTTTAGAAGTCTGTCCAACAAGCAATTTCTATTAACATCCCTTGACTGGTGTATCCAGTTTATGTTCAAGCAAATGGAAAACTATAATAAATAGCAGTATTTACTAGAAACAAAAATGGATAGACATCAGAAAATAAAGAGCTATGTACCCTATAAGTTAAAAGAACAGAAATATGGAAACCAACATTGGAAATAACCGATAGATGCTATAGGTTCCTTATAAGACTAACATGGACTTACTTTTTGTTGTTTTTGAACTGTAAATTATGCAGTTCTATAATACTATTACTTATTTCGATAAAAGATGCAAGAATATTGTTTTAATGATTTTTCAGAAGTTAAGATTGACAACAGTCTAATGTTGATTGAGGTAAATGACAAAATGAAAGTGAGTAGCAAAATGCTGAATTGAAAAAGGAATTTGAGAACACCTGCAAAGAGGCAATTGCAGTTTCACCATCCTTGAGTTTTTGCTCTTGCTCATTCATTAACACAGCCTTTGGCTCTAAGACAAACCTGAACATAAAAGATTGTTCAGAGTGAGACAAGTACAAAAGCAGAGAAATTTGAGAATTCCAGGACAATAATGTATATGATCCACATATCCTTTTCCTTTTTTCAGATAACTGCAACACGATAGACTTCGGTTCAAAACTTACGTTCTTCCTGCAACAAAAGATAGAAAACAATGAAACACAACATTATAAGAATTCTGTTCAAATTTAATTTCAGAAGTGATATTTCAAGATTAACAAATCACTCAATTAAGTGATTAACTAAATCTCACTCCCAAACTGGTTGGTATCAACTATAAGAGATCTTCTATAATTACTCCACTGTCTTTGAGGCTAAATGAGTCCAACATCAAATAATTTTCTTTCGGGCAAATTGAATTCTTTAAAATTAGAGGTTTTCTTCTTTATCCTTTTAACCAGAGGTTTTCTTTTTGAGAATTGATAACATTGTATTCTTCAGCATTAAGGATATGCTGGGTACCTTTAGAAAATCAGAAAAGAACAAAAAGCATAATACTTATAAGGATCCTAAGAATTCTAAAAGTTGATCTGGATCCTCTAATCCTATCTCTTTACACCAAAAATATAGAAATACAATACAATGCAATTCCATTTAACCTTGTGAATCGAATTGGATATATCTTCAAAATTCCAACTATTCCTCTCCTTCCACACCGTCCACCAAATGCAATGTGGAATCAAATTCCACCAGGTCTTCTGTCTCTTGCTATCTCCTCTCCTAATCCAACAACTAAGTAAATCAGTTGTATGTTCTGGCATAGTCCATTTCACTATTGAAAAGTTGAGAAACATGGACCATATTTGTGTTGTGAAAGTACAATGTAAGAATAGGTGACTGTTAGTTTCCCCATTCCCCTGTCTTCCCACATAAAGAGCACCAAGGAAGTATGATCTTTCTTTTCTTCCTCAAGACTTCATGTGTCAAGCATGCCTTTCTAATGACCAACCAAGTAAAGCACTTAACTTTTGTTGGTGCTACAGTCCTCCAGATATTTTTCCATGAACTCTAGTATTTGCTACTTTGCGAGTTGCACTCCTTTTTATATGCCCTGCCAACTATGAAGATACCATCCTTACTGTGAGACCATCTAACAACATCATTGGCAGTATTGGTGCCTGCAAAATCCCCCACTTCCTCCAAATATTTGGCTACTATCTCTATCTCCCAATCATTTAGTAGTTAGAGATTCCAACTTTGCTCTGTCCAGCAATCACTAATCATTGCCTCAAAATTGGTGCACAAAATAAATAGATGAGGAAATGTTTCCTTTTAGGGGGGTTTGTTTGATCCATACATCCCACCAGAATCTAGTTATCCTTCCATCCCCCACCTTAATATGTAAATTTGCTTCTAACTTGGGTCATAAGTTTCTAATAGCTCTCCAAACCCCCGCTCCATAGGCATCTATGCTTACGTTACTACACCAAAATCCATCCTCCCCATATTTACATTTAATCAAATCTTTCCACAAAGCTTGCCTCTCCTCAGTATCTCCACAGCCATTTCATCAAAAGACTGTTGTTATGCTTCCTCAAATCACTGATGCCCAAGCCACCTTTATCTTTTCTATGCAAAACTGTCACCCACTTGACCAAATTGTACCCTTTGTTCTCTTTGCAGCCATGCCAAAGGAAATCTCTCCTAAGTTTGTCCAATTTCTTAGTCACTTTTGTCGGTATAGTGAAAAGAGACGTACATATGTTGGGAGAGAATCTAGAACAGAGTTGATAAGGATGTGTCTACCACCAAAAGAAATGTATTGAGCCTTCCATCTGGCTAGTCTTTTTTCAGTCTTCTCGACTATGCTATCCCATATCTCCAAATCTGTGTTTATGGTAAAGGCATACCCAAATAGGTTGTGGGCAATTTCTCCACTCTGCAAACCAGAGGTTTTCTGAATGTCACACTTTTCCTTCACTGACCAAAAAGTCTCATGCTGAATACTGAACCTAACATAATTTATTAACAAAATAAATCTTAATCCCTGCTAAATGGTAGCATATTTATGGATCTTTTACTTCCATTATGTTTAGTTCATAACTAAATCCTCATTGATTTCATGAAATCGTATGTATTTTGGAACACCTTCACTCCATTTGATTTGTATGTCACGTTCCTTTTAAGAACCTTCAATCATCATAGTGTCACATCTATGGACCAATGCATTTGGAGGTCTATATAAGACATTGGCCAAACCAACCTCTCATCTTAACCACGCTACGTGCTTGGATGTGATAATTTTCTAAGCTTGTTCAATATTGTATGACAATAGATGCACTTCATAGAAGAATTTCTACCACACTCGTCATGCAGATATATTGGTTTTTGAAGGACCCATATCCACTTAAATGTAACATTGTTGGTTTCAAAACTGTTCAAAGAACTTCCTTTCCAATTTGTTAGGTATTTATCATATCGCCACTCACGACATTTGGGTTCTTTCATAGTCATTTGAGTATAACTTTCCAATATATCAACACCATACTCGTCGTGCAAATATATTGAGTTTTTGAGGACCCATATCCACTTTAATGTAAAGTTGTTGATCTCACGATTGTTATTTAGAACTTCCTTTCCAATTTGTAGATACTTTTTAGAAAGTTAACATTTTATAGACAACAATACACCAATGGTGTATTTCAGTAGTAATTACATCAGGAGTATACAATAAGCAAAACCAAAAGATCTATCATTTATACCCCTCCTAAACTATCTAAAAAGTGAGTAATAGCCTCCACCTCTTTGGGGAGGACATGATTACACCAAAAATAATGTGGGTTGGACAACACTCTCTGAAACAGTTGCATCCTGAGATTTATAATCTGAACCAACAGAAGGAAGAAACAGTAGCAGAAGTCAAAGACAACCAAGGATGGAACCTATCTTTTAGGACAAGGTTGAATGACTGGGAAATAGACAAATTAGCAGATTTCTACAAGTCTTTGGAGTAGGCGAATAACCTTGACACAAAGGAGGATAGTTTACAATGGTTGAGGGCCAACAATGGGAAGTTCACAATAAAATCAGCTTATAGACATCTTGACAGGCTAGCTGAAATGTTGTTACCATGGCCTTGGAAGATGATATGGAAAATTAATGTACCTCACAAGGTGGCTTGTTTCACCTGGTTGGTAGCTAGGGAAGCAGTACTAACTCAGGACAGACAATCTAATGAAAAGGGGAAGACAGCTTTGCTCCAAGTGTGTTTTTTTTGTGAAATAGAAACAGAGACAACAAACCATCTCTTCATCCATTGCAAAGTGATAGAGAAATTGTGGCAGATTTTCTAGCATGCTGGAATAGAGAAGGGAATACATCAAGCCACGAGGAGAGATGGAAAGATGGAAGATTGTCTCTGCTTGCATCTAGTGGACAATTTGGAAGGAAAGGAACCAGAGATGCTTCGAAAACAAGAGCATCCCTTTAATTTGTAGGTATTTTATCAAATCTCCATTAACCAAATTTGGGTTCTTTCGTAGTCATTTGAGTATAACTTTGATCACTTTGTGTTTATTATTGTGTTTGTGGTGTAGGATGAAAATGAAGAATGTTGGAGCTAAAACAAGTGATTTGGAGCTTTGAAGTCCGAGTAAAATCCCAAAGAAATGATTCCGGAGCAAGTCCAAGTTTCGAGGATGGAATGCACGCGGAAAAATGGAAGAAAAACGACATTGACACATTTTGTCCATGTGCAACGCGCCTGTTGTCGCTTGCCGAGCAGCCAAGTCCCTGAAACAAAGGCCCTGCACAATGCACCAAGGTGGTTTGCAGCTGAGTTCTATAACTCATCCGTCTTAAGGGTATTTTCTCTAGGGCTCTAATAGATACTCTATATAAGCGTCTTAAACATGATTTTGAGGGGAATTAACATTGTTATGCAGATCAAGGGCTAAGAGTATTATTTGTAGGTCTTATCTTTCTTCACCTTATTTTTTCATCATCGCCACATGTTATTCATCAATTCTGTCATTGTATTGGAATCATAGTCCTAGGGTTTTGGCACTGATATGAAAGCTAACGTTTGAAGATCATTCATAATTATTGGTTTTTCCGTTATTGAATTATTTATTTATTCTTGATCTTAATTATTTGATTGCCTGGTCATTATCAAATACTATTTGTGGCTCGCTAATTGAACTCGAGAGAGGGGATGGAAAGCGTAATAAGAATAAATAGAGCATGTTCGTGAACCTATAGACAGAGGATTGTTTCGCTAGAGTGGATAGGGATATACCCTTTGGCCTTTAGCCTCACTTAGTTGAATACAGAGATTTAAATGTATTCGGCTATTGCCTGACGACCATAGAGATATAGGTGTTGGAGTAGCTTGAATAGGCATGTGAGCAATTCGAGAGATACTCATAAAGATAATATTAACGTGCAATTAGTAACTCATGAAATCAATAGGTGTGACAATCGAAAGACTTCACTAGATTGCTAGATTTCATAGCCTTAGACCTCTCTCTCATCTGATAAAACCAAATTGTCCTAGCATTGCATCTATTTTACTGTTTTCTCTTAGTTAAATAATTAGTATAATTAGTATAATGAACAATATTTTGCTTTATCAAAAAAAAAAAATTAGTATAATGAACTCCAAAACTGTTGATTTCTCTAATAGTTGAAATAGGAATTCAAATTAGACCGTCAATCATAGAAGTCTCTGGGAGAAAACGATATCTGGACTCAAATTCTATATTTACTTGTACAACTGTGTATACTTGTGTGTGAGTTGGCCACAACAATATACAATGTGATATCTAAGAGAAGTAGTTCTCCTAAGCCCTAGTTTACCGTCGATTCTTTTATTAAAATAGAAACCAATAGTTTGCTACTGTATCCATTAATGTGTTTGACCTGCCAAGCAGTGAGAAGCTACTATAGAAAAAGAATACACCAGTCATTGGGAACCGCTCCAGTTATTTGCTTGAGCTATCGATGAAGTCATCAAAACTAGCTTATCACTGGAGCACCAATTTAAACCAACTTTTACTTCTTTTTTTGGAGCTTACCTATGGCTTTGTATGTATTGGTATCATCAGACAGCTGTTTCAGTTCCTCCAATGTCAAATAAGCACGCTTCTTCTCGGTTTCTTTGTTTCGAATCTGGGTTTGAACCTACAAGCCAAAACAACTCTTTACCTTAGATCAACAATACATTAATATCTCAATCAAGCAATTCAATTATGCCCAATTTTAGTTCCTTTCAGATTTCATTCAACTCTTAAGCATATCTTTTCCCATTTCATTGTCTTCAGGATACAAATCCGAAGAAGCAAACAATCAGTAAATTAATCCATTTCTCGCTTAAGAGCAATAAAAATGTTTTTTTTTTCAAATTTCAAATCGATCTCACAGACAAAAGTTGATATTTTTCATAATTCTACGAACATGAAACTGAGTAAAAGACACATGTAAATGCAAACAAGAACTAACCTGCTTCAATTTCCCGGTAGTCTCTATCATTCGACCCTGAATTTCAATAAAAGCCTGTTGAAGAAAAAAAAAAACAAATAATCAGAAGTAAAAATTAGAGGAAAAAAAAACAGAAATTGTGAAATGAAAAAGGATATTTACAGTTCTATTTGCTTCGTCCGCCATTTTTCAACTGCAATTCCAAGTGCAGATACAAAAACTGAAGCCCTAGAATATAATTCTACTTGCTGAAAACAGCCGAGTGAGATTGATAGAGCAAGAGACGAACAGTAAAAGGTATGTCGTTGCCTATAATTTGGGTTGATAACTTCCGGCCCAATGCCTATTCTGGCCCATAATTTGTAGAAACTAAGCGTATGGCCCTATAAAAGTTAATTAATTACAGACATAAATTCATGAAAAAAAATTACCCGGATAAGCAAATATATATTATTTAATGGATTAATTACGAAAATCCACATTTTAGTTTACTTATTACCATTATTCCCTATAAGTTTTACAAATCTCCAAAATCCCTCATTTTCACTCATCAGATTAGTGTATCTCGCGCATCAGATTAATGTATCAGCGCATCAAATTAGTGTATCTCGCGCATCAGATTAGTGTATCATGTATAAAATGTACATCAGATTAGTGTATCATGTATAAAATGTAATGTATCTTACTTAAAATGTACATCAGATCAGTGTATCATGTATAAAATGTAGTGTATCTTACTTAACAATTAATGTATCTCGCGCATCAGATTAATGTATCAGCGCTTATTATTATTGTATTTGTTTGAGGGATTTCTGTAATTATAAACTTTTAAGGGATAGATTGTAATTTTGCCTTAAAAGTATGTGATTTCTGTAATTTGCCCTTATTTAATTAGCTAACATAGTTATAGTTTTGAATTAATTACGGCTCGCAGCTTAATTTTAGCTAAATTTATGTCGCCTCTCTCCTCTCTTCCTCTCTCTCTCCTCTCTCCTTATTTATACATATACAAATACAAATTTTACATATAAATATACAATTATATGACAGATATACAAATACAATTAGCCTCTCTCCACTCTCTGGCCTCTCTCACTCGTCTCTTTCCCAATCTCGCTCACTAGATATACAAATACGTATGTATACCTGCTACATATATATAATTTATCGTACAATATACATATACAGTTCACTTATCTCCACTCTTTGCCCTCTCTAGCTCGCCTCTCTCCCAATCTCACTCGTCATATATACAAATACATATGTATACCAGTTACATATATATAATTATTTTGACAGATATACATATACAACTCGCCTCTCTACTCTCTCTCTCGGCTGCCTCTCTCCTCCCTCTCCCAATCTCGCTCGTCACTCTCCTCTCTATAACATGTAGCTATGAATCGTAATTAGCAAACTATAGATATGGGGCATAATTAAGTTATTTTTGAGTGACTATATGTGAAAATTCCCCTATATTCACTTACCTTTAATATTCCCTTTTTTGTAGCTTTAATTATTAAAGGGAAAAGGGATTGATGTACCCCCTCTACTTTGTCATTTTAAGCTGATATACTATTTTCCTCTAATGGAAGTGAAAAAATTAATTTAAAATATATATAATCCATATGGATTATATTTGATCCTCCTCACACGTTTTATTTTAATTTTTTTTTGTTTCAATGACTAATTTAAATTTATTATTTTTATGGTCAAACTTATTAATGTTCCACTAATTTTCTTGTAAAATTTATCATAGATGCCCCAATATTTTTTACAAATACAAAAACTAAATTATAATATAATCGGAAAAAATAGTTTTAAATCATGATATAGCCATAAAAAATTAGATTTTAAAATTATTTTCTTTACACTAAAGAATGAAAGAACAAATAAAATAAGAATAAGAAACTCAAATAATGATAATCAAAGAAGTCGAAAAATAATTTATGTATGAAAAAGATTAAAATATACCTTGAACTTTGTTAGAATGATCACATATACCCTTACATAATTTTTAAAAAAATTAAAAAGTCAAAAATATAAATTTAAAACTATTTTTTTCACTTATGTTAGATGAAGCGTATATATGAGCTCCTTTTGTAACAGTAGGGGTATATTGGAGTCATTTGTATAATGGTAAGGGTATATACGAGTCACTTTCATAACAAGGAGTCGAGGAGTATATCAGCTCTAAATGACAAAGTTGAGGGGTATCTCAGACCACTTTTGTTTTTTTGTTTTTCTAGTTCATTTTTTTTTCTTTTTTTATTTCTTTGTTCAATTAAATTATTTTAAATTTTATTTCTTTTTTATACCGTAACCTGATTTATACTAAATATTTATTTCATATACTTTCTTTCTTCTTCTCTTTTTCCTTTTTCTCAGTTATTTTTTTTTTTTGGTAAGTAAACATTTTATTTACCAAGTAACGTTACAAATCAAAAAGTAGCCGGTATGGACATAAGCTCCATCCTTGCTAAACAAAGTTCTCACATCTGCTAACTATTTCTATGGGTAAGAATTTAAAGTGCTTAATCTAGTAGCTATTCTTGGATACCTAATGCCTCTTCCATGTATCTCCTGAATTATATGCCTGATCAGGTAGCTTACTGACTGCTGCTTGTGTTGAAAAATTCTGGTATTGCGCTCTAGCCATAAATGATAAATTGTGTTTGCCATTGCCATTCTATACACAAGGGACTTGCTGCTTCTCCCTTTCATGTAGTGCACTGCCCAATTTATCTCACTGGTCCAGTTCATTGCATTTCTTGTTATTCCCTGCCAATGTAGTATACTCATCCACACCTCTGCTGCATATGCACATTGAAAAAATATGTGATCATGATCTTCATCTACTGATTGGCATAGGGGACAGGTTAGTACTTGAATGATTCCCCACTTTGCCAATCTATCTTTGGTTGCAAGTCTTCTTTTCACTGCCAAATACATGATGAACAACCACTTAGGGGCACCAAAATTTGTCCACACTAGTGATCTCCATTCTACCTTCTCCTTTGTACATTTCATCTGCCAATACACTTTACTTATGTTGTACTGTTTCATATTGTTCATATCCTCCTCAGTAAATCCTGCCTCTTGTAAATATTTTGCAGCCTTTAATATCTTCTGTACCACCTAAGAAGCTTGTTGAACTTGGATATTCCATTTACCTTTTTTCCCATAGTAACTATGTATCCATACAACCCATAGTTTATCCTTTTTCTTGCATAAATTCCACAATAACTTGTCAACTGCTGCTTTATTCCATGTATATATATCAAGGAAATTCAATCCTCCACTTGCTTTTGGCCAACACAGCTTGTCCCATGCCACTAATGCTTTCTTTGAAGTCTCAATGCTTTCTGTCCATAAAAAATTTCTGCACATATTTTCCACTGTTTGTATCACTTTCTTTGGAAGAGCAATATCTGAGCCCAAAACATTTGTATTGCATACAACACACTTTTGATAAGTTGAGCTCTACCTGCATATGATAGAAACTTTGTTGTCCAACTTGTAATCCTGCTTAACATCCCATCCATAAAAGGTTTACATTGTACAATGGAAATCCTTTTAGTACTCAAGGGCACTCCAAGGTACCTAAAAGGTAGTTCACCTTTCACATATTGTAGCTCCTGCAGAATCTCCTCTTGCTGTTGTTTATTAACTCCTCCAAAATAGACACTACTCTTTTCTTCATTTGCAACCAGACCTGAAGCTTTAGAGAACATCATAAAAACAATTTCTAATACATTTCACTGATTTGATATCACCTCTACAAAACATTAGCAGATCATCAGCAAAGCTCAACTGCACTATGTTCTGTTTTTTGCATCTAGGATGATAGTGGAAATCAGGATTTTTCTGCAAGTTCTTTAAAATTCTAGTCAAGTAATCCGTGGCTAGCACAAATAGGTAAGGAGACATTGGATCTCCTTGTCTCACTCCCCTCTTGGCCTTAAAAGGAGTTGTGATATGTCCATTTATCTGGATAGAATAAGTGATTGTAGTAACACATTGCATGATCCACTGAATGACTTTGGCTGGCATTTGAAGCTCCTCCAGAAGCTGTTCCAAGAATGACCATTTCAAGGAATCATATACTTTCCTCATATCTACTTTCACCATACATCTCCTTGAAATTCCTTGTCTACCATACCCTTTAATCAATTCATGACTCAATATCACATTATCATTCAAAGCCCTCCCTGGTACAAAAGCTGACTGATTTGGATCCACTAGTGTTTCCATAACAGGTTTTAACCTTGCAGTGATGACTTTAGCTATGATTTGCTATATTGTTGAGCAACACGATATAGGCCTATATTCACTAATTCTGGTTGGATTCTGCACCTTAGGAATGAGAGTTACATTTGTACAATTGATTGCCTGGTACATTTCCCCTGTTTTAAAGAATTCTAGGACAACATTAATTACCTCCTCTCCTATCACTGGCCAAGCTTTCTTGAAAAAAACAGCATTGAGCACATCCTTCCCTGGAGCTTTTAGATCATTAATTCCCTGCAAAGCAGATTCCACTTCTTTTTTTTATAACTGGAGCTGCTAACTTCAATTGTTGTTCTCTATTCAACTTCCCACCTTCCTTCATTATTTGCTTATCCACACTAGGCAACCTATATGCATTCTGACCAAGCAGTTCCTGATAAAATGTAATAGTTTCCTTTTCAATTTCTTCTTGAGAATACACACTGATACCTGCAGCAGTTGTAAAATTAGTTATAGTATTATGTGCCAGCCTATTCTTCATGTAAGCAAATAAATAACTTGTGTTTGCATCTCCTAGATTTAACCATTGCACCCTTGACTTTTGTCTCATAGCACTCTCCTCAATTAGACTCCATTTCTCTAGTTGTTGTTTCAGTGCCTTCTCTTGGTCCTTTTTATCGTTCACTTGCCTGTAATCTATCATGTCATGTTGAATTTGATGTAGCTGTGTTCTAATGGTCTGAATCATGTCCCTAACTCCCCTGAATTCAGTATTATTCAACTCTTTAATAGCTCTGATAACTCTTTTGAGTTTCTTCCTGACAACTTTCATGCTCCTATTTGTCTCTCCTTGCCATGCTTGCTTTACTATTGGTAGGAACCTGGTATGATCTGCAATGCAGTTAAAGAATCTAAAAGCTCTATACTTCTTTTGGCTCTTCTTTTCTAGTGCAATCTTCAATGATCAGATATCCCTGGTCTGAGTATATGCACCTCCATAATTGGCATTTGTATCATCCATTCAGTATTCACTAAGGCCCTGTCTATCCTGTTGCAAGTATGCCCATTCGTCCAGGTGTATGTACCCCCAACTGTTTTCATCTCCTGCAAACCAGTGTCTATTATGAAATCATTGAAGTCTTTAACCTCTATATCTTGTACTTTAGTACCTTGCAGTCTATCTTCGGCTTGTAACACTGCATTATAATCCCCCATGCACAACAAGGGTCCTTGAGCTGTGGCAATCAATCTCCTAAGGTCCTCCCACATTATCAGTCTCTCTTTAATTGTATGTAGCCCATACACTGCCACAAACATAAATTCCAAACCACTTCTTTTAATCCTTATGTTTGTTTGTATGTATTGATCAGACTTACTTCCCACTACACAATCCACATACTTAGAATCCCATAGCATCCAAATTCTACCCTTAGGAGTAAATGCATAATTTTCCTCACCTCCACCCTGGAGCAATTTTCTGAATTATTTTATTAGCTAACCCTTCCTTTATTTTATGCTCTAGTACGGCTAATACTAACATTATTTTCTCAGTTATTTCTTTATTCTTTATGTTTTCTCTACTTTTTTTCCTCATTTTTTTATGCATTTTGTTCTTTTAAATTTTCAATTTATTTTATTATTTTCTTTTCTTTTTACATAATTTAATTCACACTCATTTTTTTTTATATTCTCCTTTTTATTTTTTTATTTTTTTTCTCGTATATTTCTTTATTCGTTTATTTTCTCAAAAAGAACCCTGCTTTTATTTTTTTCCTTTTTCCCCTTTTTCTTTTTTTTTAGTTCCTTTTATTTTTTTCATTATTTTATAATTTCTTTATTTTATGTTCCTTTTCTTTTCTCCCTTTTTCTAATTATTTCTTTATTTATTTATTTTTATCATTTTCTTGCTTTTTCATTCATTTTTTCTCAAATCATAATATTCTTTATTTTTTCTCCACAATTTAATTTCATATTTTTGGTCATTCTATATTTTATTTTTATTTTTCATTCAGCTAAGTTTCTTTTCATTTTTGTTTCTAATTTTTTTTTTCATTTGCTTCAATACTATCATAGTATATCTATACACTTTCATGCTATCATTGATGTATATTTCAATACTTTAGTGAGACCTCCATATACAAATATGGTATCATAGAGATTTGCTTCAGTCCATAATGATATCACCATATTATATCTATATATCTTTCAATCATCGTTTGGAGGTGCAAGATAGGAGTTAAATTAAAAGAAAAATGAAAAAGTAACACAGGAAAAACATAGAGTTAATATCACGAAAGCTTGTTTGATGCAATTACAATAGAACTATAAGCATTTATAGATATATTGACGTAGAAGTATGCCAACTAAGTACATAAAAGTTTACCCTTAAAAATATCTTAATTGGAACAAAATTAACCTAAACAATGACTAATAAAATTGTCCATCCGATAGTAAGATACAACTTGTAAAGTTATCCTCCCTTGCAATTTATAGGCCAACGAAATTAATCATTGTAGATCAAATTTCTAGGAGTTTTAGAGATCAATCTCTCAACGTATTGAAGCATATCTCCCTACCTTCATGAGTTAATACAAATATTTGCGTAAATTTATTCTCCTAAAACCTCATTTATGAAATTGCACTTAGGTATGTTGATTGATGAGCCATATGAAATGACACAATTAATTACTTCTAAAAAGTATTAAGTTACAAATTACTATACATTCATAGATGAAAAAAAATTGTTTGGACCATGATTAAGCCTTTTTGTTACATCTTATATGTAATGTAAGACAACATAATACGTAAGAGAATGAAAAATAAAAGTTAGTTGAATTGAGATGGTCGCTTGTGAATAACAATATAGTTGTTATACAATATTAGAAATATAATATCAATTATGTAGCATATGTATTATATTACAATCATAAATTACTTGCTTGCTAGCTATTATTGAATTCTCATAAGAAGATCAAACTCCCTATCTTTAAAAGTTGTGCTTTAGGTTTGAATGTTCTTCATTTTTGTTCTAAAATTCATTGTTCACTCATGAAATAAGTCAAACTGAACTTTGGCTTAAGATTTAGAACTTGTATTAGCAGAATGAATTTCAAACAATGCATTTGAAATACATTTGGACATTGCAAGTCACCTCTCTCATTGGTCATATATATTTTGTAAACTGCATCCAAGAAATTATTGAACACTTGAAATACATATGAAAACATAGACATATATAAGATTGACACTAACAAATCTCATTAATGATCTCGGTTACTGTAATAAAATGGACGTTAATAACCTGTTGAATGGTGAAAATGATATATGTTCAGAGGTTCAGAGCTTAAAAGAAATTGTGGATACCATTTAAAAATATAATGTTGATGATAAAGTTGAAGATGGAACAATACCTTTGGAACTACTTATGCATAAGGAAACACTTATCGCATTTAGAAATCTTCACAATTTTAGGGTACAGTTTGAAAAGACAACATCGAAACTTTTGAATGCAATAAGAAAAGTTGGAGATCAGTTTTAACTAGATTTAAATTTTAATAAAAAACAGAATACAGTGTAATCATATTTTCTGAATTGTCTAAGATATATTTGTACTTTTTAAAGATTATAGTTAGCCACTATATACTCAGAGGGGGTTGATAGAACATTATTTACTATGAAAATCATTTTAAACTAAACATGTTTAGTATTACCTATTATGATTCTGATTCATCAAGCTAATAATATCTCTTCAATCCAAAACGTTCAACTCAAGTTTCACCATCTCTTCATTTATTAGAGAATTTCAAATCCATCAAAAAAATAAATGAAAGTCAACTCTATTACATAGGGAGTAATAAGAAGCAATACAGATCTTAAATTAATTCTAAGAAGCAAGGCACATCTAATTAAACATAAAAAGATAAAAATCACATAAGATATAACGTAAAAATTACTACTTAGGAATAAAAAAAAGTTGCACACTTGAAATTCATTTCTTGTTCTGTCACGGTAATACGGTATTCTTAAATTCTTTGATCAATATGTTGGGATTTAAATGAAAGTATATCACTTTGATACATATGTTGGGATTTAAAATTAGTAGTATTTTTTCTTATGGTGAAAATAAGCATTATCTCTTGAAGATATTCAACAATGCCTTATTCACAATTTCTTTAAAACATATGTGAATCCCGCTGAATATCAGAAATTAATATTGAATTCAAATTTGAGATCCCAACAATTTCAAAGAAGTGGTTTAAAAGTTATCCCACTGTTATGGAGGAGTACCTCTTCAAACTAATAAATAAAGAAAATTAATTGGTATTTATTTTTTCTTTTGACTTCCTCTTGTCTATTTTTTTTTAACAAAATCACCCAACACTTTGTCATTCAAATTTGACATAAAAATAGAGGGGAGAGGGGGGGGAGGGAGAATCTAGAGTTATGGAGAGGTTAGTGGAAGACTCTAGAATTCCCTAGATCTTTTCTTAGATGACTCTAGAATGCCTTAGAAAATATCTTACAATGCTTTGAATTCTCTAGACTAGTAGATAATTTTAGAAGAGAGACTAGATTGTAAACAAGTAGGGACTTGTGTAGTAACTTTTATTTACACTTTCCCCCCCTAGGAAGTAGTATAAATAGATGAGCTCTCATTTGTAAATCATCCAACAAATTGTAAGCAACAATATACAAAATCTTCTTTAAAAAACTCTCTTAGTCTTTATTTCATTCTCTTAGCTATCTTGGTTTCATTCTCTTAGCGATCTTAGTTTCAAAGGGCTTACTTGAACTTACAAGATCGTGAAAGATTGGTGAATAAGTTTTAAAGTGCCACACGGAGTTCTAGTGAGACTCTAAGATCGTGACACTAGGTTCAATACACCAAATTTCATGGTTTAGTAGTTTATTGGCTGTAAATGTTGTCTTTTAAAAAGAAGAAAAAGATAAGAAGACTTCACCGTCTTCCACTTCTTCTCTTTCACCTTTTTTTGGTCTTTTTTTCTATTACGCCATGCAAGACAGTCTAGGTTCACTACGCCAAATTTCATGATTTAGCAGTTTATTGGCTGAAAATGTTATCTTTTAAGATTTTTTAACAGTATTGTTGATAAATACAATGATCTACCTGAAACTGTGAAAAAATTTAGCAAATTTGGTGGGGTTACCGGGATGGTCCAAACCACTTTTGAAATTTTCAAATTTCCAAGGTTGAAAACATAGATGGATCTCGACGAAAATGCGTCGATACTATAGCCGGTGGAATAATCATTGGGGTAATCTCTATATCATTAAAAAAACACAGTTTATTAGTTTATTATTCTTATGTATACTGTTCTTTTTTTGCAGTTTGTTGTACTGGTACTCGTACACGTAGATTCGTTTGTGCTTCCTATGCCTCAATTTTTGTGGCACTCATAGAATTTCAAAGTTCAACCAAATTTTAATATTTTTGTTAAATGTTTCAAGTTGTTAATTATTGTGATTTATAGTACCTTTTATGTAATTTTCAAATAATATATGTTATTCTCGCTATCCCTATTTATGTGGCATTGATAGAATTTTGAGAATCATATAAAAATTTAGGTCTTTTTAAAAATTGCTAATTGTTCCCTTAATTCTACTATAACATGATCCAATTTCTTGAGACTTGAGACTTCTCTCGTAAGAGTTTTCACTTCTAATAATACCTTCTGCATCAATTCACGCAATTATCCCACCCCATTATTACCAGATCCTTCAATTGATCTTGTATTATTTGTCATTGTTGCCAAGAAAAATGTTGCTCTGATACCAATATTACCTCAATTGCATGAATCAACTAAAATTCAAGGATTAAGAGAAGTAACTATTGAAGAACAGTTAAGAACAATGAAAAATTAGAGAAGAAGGAGAATGGAGATTTTAAGAGAGAAATGACTTGTATTGTATATTCATGATGAATTCTCCTTTACAATGCAGAACTATATAGAATTTACAATTGAATTAGCTGAAAGAAAAATATCTACTAACTGTTTCAATGGAACAGTATTCTAACAACTTTGACTAACCTGATAGTAACTAATTAATTGTTGATAGATCAACTAATTTTCTCAATTCCCGTTATCTATCCTAATTCCAAATATGTGTAACATTTTAATTTTTGTCTCTTCCTTCATTCACTTTCAGCCATAGTTAAAAGAATTTCAAACAATTGTTTGCTAATTATAGTGAAAAGGAGGAAAATTAAAATTCACCCCTCTTATAGAATGATAATTATGGCATCATTG